GGCTGAGCCCCTGTGTGCCTCCCAGGGCACCTCCTGGCTGCTCGCTGCTCGCCGCGGGGCTGGGACACAGCCTGCACCCTGCATGGGGACAGCCAAGGGCCAGGCGTGGGCTCCAGAGCAGCACTGCCTCTGGGCTGCCACAGCCCCTGCACCTGGAGGGTCACTGTGCTCTGTCTGCATCCTGACACTGCCCTCTTACTCAATGCCATATCCCAAGGGAATAAATCTGTGTGTTGCCCCTTCTGCTAAAGGGGCATATGTCCCTCACAGAGTTTTTACCCTGACTATCATTGCCTTTTCGATATTATCCTGCTGTAGGAGTAAATATAAGAGTTCATCATGTGTTTTACTCTCCCTTCACAGGTCACAAAAGCAATTATTGGAACTACAGCAGCAGTAGGAGGTATCATTCTTGCCGGTCTTGCCACTGTTGTTGTGAAGGGTTTGTTTGGGGATACATCCAAAAAAGAGAAAAAGTACTACTCATGAGCTGTCTGGAGGAGCTCAGAGCAAGGCAGGGAGAGCCCCTGGCCACAGCAGTCACTGGTCAGCTTTTGCTACACCTGCATCAAGACTTCTAGCAACTGTGCTACTCTTGCTGTAAATTTTAAATAAGACTTAATAAAATGACAGAAATACAAACTCATAGTGCCCTAAAATCCTCTTTTATCTATTTGAGTGTAGTTTGGTGTGCAAATTTAACAATTCAGCCTTGCCTCTACCTGCCATTCCATTAAGAAATAAGTTCTGAATGTCACCCTTCAAGATCCGTTGAATGCAGCACCGGCCTGGTTCCATATCAGTTTTTATTGTCGGTGATTTTTTTGGGTGTGGCCGCGGGTGGCGGCTCGGGCGGGGCAGGGGCTGCAGGGGCTGCTGGCGGCCGGCAGGGACCGCTCCCGGCGGGGAACCTGCAGTATCCAGCTCAAGTGTTTGGAACCCGGTTAGCTGCATCCCACATGTGAGACAGAGAATGCTGTGTTGCTTTTGTCACAGAGAACTGCCTGGACTGCAGGGAGAGGTGAGAGCAGAGCAGCTGTCTGGGAGARGCTGGCTGGCTTTGCCTGCTCTTACCATGCTGTCCTGGTTTAACCTCAGCCAGCAGCAAAGCACCAGGCAGTCACTGGCTCACTCCCCTGCCAGCCTCATCAGGGAGGGAATCAGAAGAGTTGAAATTAAAAACTTGTGGGTTGAGAAAAAGATGATCTAGTAGGTAAATCANGGCTGAGCCCCTGTGTGCCTCCCAGGGCACCTCCTGGCTGCTCGCTGCTCGCCGCGGGGCTGGGACACAGCCTGCACCCTGCATGGGGACAGCCATGCACCCAGCCCCTGCACCTGGAGGGTCACTGTGCTCTGTCTGCATCCTGACAGTGCCCTCTTACTGAATGACATATCCCAAGGGAATAAATCTGTGTGTTGCCCCTTCTGCTAAAGGGGCATATGTCCCTCACAGAGTTTTTACCCTGACTGTCATTGCCTTTTCGATATTATCATGCTGTAGGACTAAATATAAGTGTTCATCATGTTTTCAGCCTGTGTTTTACTCTCCCTTTAC